CAACCGAGACGATATGACAGCGGAGGTCCAGAGCCGATGGAAATCTGTTATGTAGAGAGCGAGAAGGCTCTCTCTACAGACTACAAGAGGTTGCAGAAATGCAACAGATGTCAAAATACAGGACACTACGCTTACGAGTGTAGTGCCCCTCGTCCAGTGTCTCGTAACACTGGGCGTAGTGACCGTCCACCCATGAAAAAGGGGCAGGGTCGCGGGTCCGCTGTTGGTGCAAAGACGCAACAACGGGATGGACCGTCAAAAAACCGGATAGGATCAGTAGGTGTGTAGCACCCTACTGTTCCAGCAGCGTCAAGAGAATTTGTAGGCCTCTTGATGAAGGTTGCTCCCAACGCAAAAACGTTATGCGTTGCTGCTCTAGGTAATGAGGTCTCACTCATTACCTTGAAACTCGAAGTGACGAATGAGTTATCCCTTCGAGCTCTAGTCGATTGTGGGGCGTCCAACAATTTTGTGCGACGCCAATCGCTAGAAGATGGTCACTTTAAATTCAGTGAATGTGACACACCTCCTACGAGGATGACGGTACGTCTTGCGACAGGCGCATCCGTAACCGTCATGAAGCGTATAGTGAAGATCCACTATACGCTAGAAGATACCCAATATGACGATGACTTTATCGTATTGGATTTGGATGCCAAATTTGATGTCATCCTTGGGATACCGTGGCTCAGAAGGCACGAACCACGGGTAAACTGGCAACATCGGACAGTAACGATGCCTGCCGCTTGTTCATCAGATGGCCATCTGATGAACGTTTTGGAGCGTCCACAAGCGTGTGGATGTACTACGAGTGAGTGCGATGGCCTCACTTGTGGTACGGTCGTTAGTACGACTGCACAAAACCTTAGTGTACCAAACGGTTACACTTCGGAGCAAAGTGTCAACGGCTGTGAGGAAACACAGGCTGCGCCGAAGGTCCACCACTCGAATAAGTCGGGTGGACAGGGACAAAGATGTATCCCTAGCGGGGAACATCTAGAAGAGAAACGATCGATCGCTCAGGTTAAGCGAAACGATAATCCTAGATCGACTGGAGAGTCTTTCGTAGAGGATCTCGCTGTGGTTGCGCAACCACAGCTAGAGGAAGCTAAGGGAATAAGTCCCGATATTGCAAATACGGCGGAAATAAGTTCCCCGAAACCCGCGGGAATAAGTCCCTGGGAAGACGAAGGAATAAGTCATTCGAGGCCTGAGGGAATAAGTCCCCAGGAAATGACAGAGACATTGAATGTCATAGTCAATAACGGATCAAGTGTAGGCGCTTATACACTTGATCTGATTGCGCCTCCGAAGTTAACTTCGGAGATCACTCAGTTGCCAACGCTCGAACATAAAAGGTTCTTGCGTGATCTGCGTAGTGGCAAAGTCAAGCAGATCTGTGTACTCGTCGCTGACGACGAGTGTGTAACCGACATAAGGTCAGCAACAGTGTTCACTGATAACGAGAGAGTTCTCAGTAGTTCATCTATGGACGAGAGTGTCCTAGATGAAAAGACACGAATTGAGCGATATGACTCCCAATCATGGGAATCGCTCAAGAAAAATCCTCTCTATGAAGATTTGGTTGAATTCAAGGATGTATTCCCTGAAACTGTTCCGTGTGAATTACCGAAGGATAAGGGTATTCGACACGAGGTCGAGCTTAAACCAGGCTCGAAGTACTGTGTCATGAAGCAGTGGCCACTGCCTCGTGAACAAGTACTTGCGATCGACAAGTTCTTTGCCGATCGTTTAGCTGCGGGCCATGTGAGGGAATCAACTTCCCCACACAGCTCTCAGACCTTCTGTGTGCGAAAAGCAACAGGAGGGTGGCGGATATTGCATGCATTTAACAAGTTGAATGCTGCAACGGTACCGGCTCAGACGCCGATACCGAGGAAGGACGTAATCATTGATGGTATGTCAAAGAGTACCATCTTTTCGTCCATGGATTTGATGGATGGCTTCTATCAAATCCTTATGCGGGCCTTAACAGAAATTAAAATAGTATCTCAAATTTTTCCAAATTGTTTTAAAGCTGGACTTTTATTTCTTTTTTGTTTTTTAATACGTTTTTGTTTTTTAAAAAATAATTGATTAATAGTTGACATATTTTTATTAAGTTATATTTAAATTGAATAATAACGGACTTGAACCGCTAACATTTTCGGTGTAAACGAAATACTCTACCAATTGAGCTAATTATTCATTGGGCCTAAGTAGATTTGAACTACTGACTTTACACTTATCAGGCGTATACTCTAACCAACTGAGTTATAGGCCCTTTTGAAGTAAAAGGATTCGAACCTTTGATTTTCCGTACCAATAAATAAAAAAAAATAATAATAAATTTTATGTTATTTTAGCACGCCTAGCGGCATGCTCTGGGAATGGCTAGTAATGCCACAAGGGCTCAGTAATGCCCCTGCCACGTTCAACAGATGTGTATCACATCTGTTGAGACCAGTACGAGAATTCGCACCGAGTTATTCCGATGACGTATTCGTCCATAGTCTGGCTATGGATGGAAAGTCGGATGTTGAGGTTAACAGATACCACGTCCGACAGGTTCTTACAATCATGCGAAAGCATCAATTGTATGCCCATCTCAAGAAGTGTATATTTGCAGCAAGCGAAATACCACTTCTTGGGTGCATCGTTGGTAAGAACGGTGTACGTCCTGATCCCGAAAAGATCAAGGCGATCTCCGATTGGCCTGTGCCAGTTGATGTCAAAGATTTCGAAAACCTTGGGCTAGCGGCGTATTTGCATAAGTATTCACGCAATTACGCCGAGATGACTGTGCACCTCTCTCGTTTGTTGAAAAAGAACGAGAGGTGGTTATGGAACGCTGAATGTCAACGCTCCTTTGATGGTACCAAGCAGAGCTTGATACAATCCCCAGTCCTAGCAATAGCCGATCAGGACAGGCCATTTCATATTGTATGTGATGCCAGCGATTTCGCAATCGGCTGTGCATTAATGCAGTACGACCTTGAAGGCGTTGAACGCGTCGTCTGCTATCAGTCGCGTCAGCTTCAACCAGCTGAGCGGAACTATCCAGTGCATGACAAGGAACTCCTTGCAATGAAGTATGCACTCGCGAAGTTCAGAGTCTATCTCTTAGGAGATAGACCCTTCGTTGTTTACACTGACCATGCGTCATTACGCACGGCAGTGAACAGCCCGCACCTTTCACAACGAATGGCGCGGTAGTTGTCATTCTTTGCGGAATACAACTTTACGGTCGAGTACAAACCAGGACGACTTAATGTCGTCGCTGATGCACTCTCACGTCTTACCGAATTTGAACCAGTCAGGAAACCCAACAGTGAGACAGGCACTGTTGCGGTTATGACGTCCTCAGTCCCATCTACAACGATGTATGATGATGTGAGGCGGGCATACGCCCAAGATGGTGAGATTGTGAAGTTGTTGACACATCTCTCCCAACAATCTCGAGAATCGTTGAAACGATTGTCGTCTGCGTATCGATCTGCATCAGATCGATACACTACTCGTAACGGTTTACTGTATTATACAGCCGTTTCTGGTGACACACCACGTGTTGTCATTCCAGATGATACTGATCTGCGTTTGCGGATCATGTTCGAGTATCACGATGCTCCTATAGGAGGACATCGTGGCCGAGAGAAAACATATCTCACGGTAAGTCGAGACTTTTACTGGCCCCGCCAGTATCAGCTTGTGCGAAAGTATGTTCGCGCATGCGAAGTCTGCCAACGAGTGAAGTCAAGTCCTTCACTGCGTGCACCTTTACAGCCTCTACCGGTTCCGGCTGAGTGCTGGGAATCCATCTCAATGGATTTTGTCTTCGGGTTACCTAAAGACGCACGCGGGAATACGGGTATTCTCGTATTTGTTGACAGATTCAGCAAAATGGTACACCTTGTGGCTGTACCAGAGACAATCACGGCAAGCGGCTGTGCTTGTGTCTTTATTGACACCATATTCCGACTTCATGGGTTGCCCCGTGAACTTGTATCAGACAGAGATCCACGCTTCACTGCTGATTTCTGGCGTTCCGTGTTCAAATCACTCGGAACGCGCTTGAAGATGTCAACATCTGATCATCCAGAGTCAGATGGTCAGACGGAACGTGCCAATCGTGTCCTTGAAGAGATACTTCGAGGATACGTACACTCCTTTAAGAGTTGGAGTGAGTTTTTGCCAATGGTAGAGTTTGCCATCAACAACTCGGTGCATGCGTCCACGACACATACACCGTTTTACGTGAATGGCTTGCGCCATCCGCGTGTACCCACCTTACTAGAGTGTAACTCTGGTTTGAGGGGGGGGAGGGACTCGCGCGAGCAAAAACCGAATTGGTTCACGATCATCACGCTCTGACGAAGAAGTCATTGCGTTTGATGCCGATATCGATGACATCGATATCGAAGAAGATGATGCCAGTGAGAGTGCGGAAGCCCTCACTGAAGAAAAGGTTGATGTTGCTGCAGTGCGCTCACAGCACACTGAAGCTAACGAGTCATCAGATGAGTTCATACTGGCTCGTGAAACGGTAGTCCGTTTTGTGCAAGACTCCATCGCCGAAGCGGTGGATAAGCAAAAGCAAAACGCTGACAATAATGGAAGGGCAAACACTCCTTTATTAATAAAGGTGACTTAGTCCTACTGTCTACGGTTAATCTACCAAAGCATGTAGTGACTAACTTGGGTAGCAGTAAACTACTACCCAAGACATCGGCCCATTTCGTGTATCGCACCGCCTAGGCAATGCATACACGATCAAGTTACCACGTAAGATGCGAACGCATCCCACGTTTTACGTTGGTCGGCTTAAGCCGTACCATCAGTACGCTGCTTCTTCCGATGAAGAACGCCCTTGCGCTCAAGCATCTCGCAGAGAGCCTTGTGCTCCCGATGGTGGGCATCAACAAGGGTCTGAAGAGCAGCTATCTCATCCCGAGACCGATCAGCAATCCCACGAGCTACCCTTAGCTCGTCACGAAGAGATGTCAGAGATCTCTCGCTCTCAAGCTGAGCAAAGGCAAACTCAGCTCGATGCTTCGAGGCAGTGTCCGCCATTTGGACGCCAGATGGAGACGCCTATTCCGCTCATGCTCGAGATCGTCGCGTAACCCTTGCGTTACGCGATCAAAGAAGCTCTCGGGAACACACCGATCCACATGATCGTGTGGAGAGCGTCTTTCCTCCTCCTCCACCTCCATTAGAGGACTCTCGCGGTGGCCAGCGCTATCTGGTTGAGCAGCTGTTGAACCACCGCGACTTGAACAAACGTCGGACGAGTTACCTCGTCCGGTGGCGCGGCTATCCCCCGTCCTGGGATTCTTGGGAGCCCCGCTCCCAACTGATGGTTGACGTACTGGGTCTGGTTGAGCAGTACGACGCGGCACTTCCTGTGCCGCAGAAGGACCGCCGGAGAAAGTCTTCCCGGCACGGTCGTAAAGGGATTTCAGGTTGTCAATCCCTTCGTACATCTCAGTAGAGACACGTACGCGCCACCACGGGCTGGTAAGGAGGTAAGCCTCCTTAGGTGCTCGTGCAGAGTTGTTCACACAACATGGGCACGAGTCTCCCCAAGAGAGGCAGGGTAATCCTTTCTCCCTTGACAGACGATGCAGCTTGTAGCGTGCACCTGTCGGGGTTCGCTTTTCAAACTTATCACGAGCTTTGATAAGTTTGTCGTTCCAAGCGTCACGACCTACATACTCGAGGTTATGGATGTGGGCGTTCCACGCCTGAAGTAGTGAGGGACCATCACGTTTGTGATTCCCACTGTACCATCGATGTCTAAAGAAAGCATCGATGAAGAATTCGTGTTCAGCGCGATAGGTTTTTCGCGCTGGGGTCAAGGTGATGGATCCTTGACGAATCGAACAATCGTGTTCGATAACGATCACTCGTCGTCGCCGACAAGTGATCCATGACAGATTTAGGAAACATCCATGCCTTCTTCTCAGTAGCGAGACGCAACACACTGCGGTCCCGCTCTTCCTGCGACGTGCCGACAGAAGTACTGGCACCTCGCTGTGAAGTGGTGTCCATAGGAGAACCGACACCACTATTAGCGCCCGAGTCTCGCGACCTCGAGCGCCTTCGCTTTGGCGATGGTTCATCTGATTCATCAGATGAACCAAAGATGCTGCGACGCAAAGCATCGTCCATGCCACGCTTGGCAGGCGGCTTAGATTCAATCGCCGTCGATACGGATCCGTCATCCGTATCAGGAGAGTACGAGACACCGAGCTCGTAATCTGTATAGACATGCGTGTCTTCATGACCAGCGCCTGCATCACCAAGTGACACAGGCTGAACGTCGCTTCAGCAACCGATGAGACATCAGTTGCTGTTGTTTCTGCTTCGGCGTCCGCACAGAGACGTGCAGACGCGCTCTCGGCGGCCTTGCTCGCGCATCGCATGGGCTTGTTTACCATGCGATGAAATGTTGGAAAGTGGACGCGGACCAACAAGTGCAAACCCTGTCCCAACTGATTTGGGACGAGTATCCATTTAGTCAATCAGTCACTAAAGTGACTGATGGTTAAGGGGGGGTGATGTAACGGGGTGAATCGTTACATAACAATTTATAAGAAATTGTTAATGGAATATATCTAAAAGAGTTATATTCTCAGAATATTGTCATAAGGACAAATATTCTGTAGCACTTACGAGTAGTTCCTAATTGGTTGATATAGGCCATTATATCAACCAACGAAGACGCGCCACGACAGACGCACGCAATGAGTGGTGAGCAGATAATTGATTTACACATTTGTATTTAGACATAGTTAGATGAAGATAAATAGTGATTTATTGCAGACATTAACTATTATAAATACAGTTCTACTTTTTACTTTAACCAAGTACTCGCTTCTTCTTACCTTCTTCCTCTGCACGTACGAGTGTACGTGAAGTCACGAGGCGCCGCCTTATTCTGTCATCAGAATAAGTAGCTTGTACTGTCACCAGTACAAGCTTCAGGGTGCCCCGTTACATAGTAAACGTGCCTTCGCTCCATCGACTCTTGCAAGCAGCAACATGGGACAACAGAGCTATCACCTGCAAAAAATCAGGAACCGTCAGACTGGCTCATGTGGCTGAAATTTGTAGCTGGAAGTGAGACACAGCACCTGGCGAGAAGGGTAGAGAAATCGCGCGGGAGAGAGACAGTGGAGACAGGCGTACAGTCTGAATAGCTCTTGAGATAGTGAAGAGCGATCGTACGCAGCATATAATGAAAATAAAAGTAGATCTGTGAGGATCGCAACAACACAATACAGCAGTCTAAAAACCACATCGTCCAAGAACTCAATTTCCATTTGAACGCGGATGCGAAGCCAACCGATTATGAGCCCAAACAGCAGCATCAAGTGCGCGAGCGCCGTTTAACGCGGAGCGGCGGCGGCGTCGATGGCGAGGCGTCGCAACACGCAAGAGGCCGCGCAGACTCCCGCGGTTGGATCGAGTGACAACAGCGAAGATGATATGCGACCCGATCTCGCGCTTGTCACTGAACAATAGGCTGTGATGGTCGCACGGCTCGAAGAACTCGAGGAAAAACGAGTGGCGCTTTCGGCACCAGTAGGAATAACGTTTAAGCCGGGCAGGGCCGAGTCAAGAGCTGTGGTTTAAACAACGAAAGAAACAGGGACAACTAGATTTCCGTTCATGCGAATGACGCATGTGAGACCCATGGAAGTTAAAAACATCCACAACGTCTTTAGGATTTGGTCCAGAGTATGCATCGCAAGCTACAGGACAGAATGAAGGGCGCTGCGACAAGAACAGCAGCAGCACTTTCAACAACATGCGGCTGAGCGCAAAGGCCTTCGAGTCTCCGCGGAAGCTTAAGGCATGAAGTTTCATGCAGTGCAGAGGCACAAGAGAAGCAGCAAGCGGAGCAGCGAGCTGCCATCCAAGCTGCGCACGGACAACTGCAACAGGTCGAGAGACACTTGCTGAGCGAAGCAGAGCTCTAGGCGACAACAATGAGACGCGCTAGAGGCGTATCTGTAAGCTCACGGGCGCGAACCCGCGCAGTTCCAAGAAAGGTTGCTGTCAGAGCGAGAAGCGCTCGCACTGCAAAACGAACAGCAGACTCACGCAGCTCGAGTGAGAGAACAAACTCTCTTTCGTCACAAGCAAGATTTTTTTGAACGAGAAGATCTGGCAACGCGAGCGCAAGATTGTACATGCCGAGCAGGTGAGAGCGGCTGGAGATGCACATCTCGCACGTGAATTGGCGCTAGCAGATCAAGCACAGCGCGTGAAAGAGGAGCAGTGTAGCGGAGCTACACAGCTCCTTAAGTCAGAGGAAGACTTAACGCTCTACGAGCAACTTAGTTCCAAAGAACTAACGACTTTACGAGTCAGCAAGCTTTACAGCTTCAGATCCCTGTTCCAGGGGACCTGACGATTCAGTGAATCGACAGCACTTAGTGCTCAAGAGTAGCTACCTCAAGGAGGTGTTGCTAACTCTTAGTGATCAGAGATCAACGATCAAGACGGCTCGCAAGCCACGCGTCTTTCAGATCAAAATGGGAACTGATTTTATTTAATGTTAAAGCCTATAGAATATCTTAATCCTACTCAAAGATCTTTCGTATCTAATGGCTGACACTTGTCAGCCCCTACAAACCGATAAGATATTCTATATCACCTTCACAGAAGCGAACCCTCAGGTGTGTAACACCTCTGGTACAAAGTACCATGATTTCGTGCAACCCCGTTACACCCTCCCCCACCAGACTGACGTTTACCCAAAACGTCAATCGAACTCGTATTCTCAGCGAGAACAGTGCGCGTACGGTGAACCTCACGGTAACGTACGCTCTAGCACGATGTCCTCATCACCAAACGAGTCAAAGGCTCTGTGTGACTACCTCGGAATAGAGGAAGAGGTGGACTATGGTAGCGATACCAGTGTCCGCGGTGACACAGGGACAACGTCCGGCTCACTGATGCCTGAGGCACAACTTTCGAACACCCCAAATCCGTTCGCTGAACGTGGAGGTGCGAGCGCGCCGCCAGCGCAGCGTGCAGCATCTGGGTTTGATGAGACTATCATCGCGAACCCGCTCGATGAGCAACAACAACTGCTTGTTCAAAGAGAACAAAACGCTCAGCGTTATGCACAGATGACTGCAACCCTTGAACGCCAGCGTGATTATGTGTTCACCCCACCCAGTGTGGAGGAACGTCTGCGTCAAGCGGCCGGCCAAACATTGGCAACGTGGGTCATTGGCCATGGGCCTAAGACTCCTGAGGAGGTGGTGAGCTGCCAGGCACTTCGTGAGAGGTACCTGGAGCCGCACCTAACGACTCAAAGTCAATACAAGGCACGCCTTGACATGCAAGCACGTGGTGCACCAGTTCCACCGATGAAGGGTATACCCATTCTCCTGCTCGCAGGCGAAACAGCGAGTGAAGAAGACGATGCCTTTGTTCACTGGGTGCACTATGTGCGTCGCCTCAGCAACATTTTTGCTCTAAGGGCTAGTGCCCATGCGGCGGATGTGCGTCTCGAACGCAAGCTTCGGTATGATTATGCCAAGCTTAAGGCCAGAGGCCAATTGCGCAAGCGCACGCGCTATGCTTCGGCTACTAAGGTAGCCGCGAGTGCTGGTCAGTCTGTGACCAACAACCCGCCAACCCGCACCACTAGTGGTGGTGAACGGCCTCGGCCTCGCGATGACCATGGCCACGATGCTCAAAAGCCTCCAAAGCATATGGGCAGTCTTGCCGAAGGGGTACCTCAAATTCCCATGAGTTTTCAGACTCAGGGTACCCACGCCACTTTACCAGATACTGATATTGGCCCTGACGACGACGTCGTTTCAGTAGTCTCTCGACATGGAATTGACGACACCCATGCTCATCGAGCAACGTCGGTGGCGGCCGGTGTACCGGTGGAGGCCCACGAGAAATTGGTTCTCGAAGTGAAGGGTCTTCAAGCGGCCTTGGGTAAGTCCCAGTGCATGCTGGATGCGATGCAAAACCGCCTTCAGGCGATGGAGCAAGCTCAAACTCGGAGCGAGGCTCAGTTGGACTTGCTGATTCGTCTACAGCAATCCGGGGCGGTGCCCTTGTCGTCGGCGCAAGCGCCTCCAAGTTCACATGGGAAGGATCCCGGTACGGCTTAAGTAAGCCTACGTAGAACACTGGATGTGTGCGCAATTTGCGTGGGAGGTTTAGCGTATACGCAAGTCCCCTTTGGCCGTGACCGTGAACGGTCCAATAAAGCGTGGACGCAACTTTGTCTTAAAGACAGCAGACACTACATTTGTAGGTAGATTTTTAGCATTGAGTAGTACTTGGTCTCCGACCTCATAACGTTCAATACAATTTCTGCTTTTGGCATCAGCTTGTTGTTTTTGGGTATCTTGGCTATCAGCCATTGCGTCACGCACATGTCTTAGGACATTTAATCGCGTTGCGAGAAACTCGCTTACCTGTTTTTGAACAGTAGCAGGGCTGATATCAGCAAGCCGATCGGCAACCTCTCCCCCCACCAAGCCCTGATTCACGTAGTGATAGCGTTAACGGAACGCGAGGGTGAGTGAGACCGTTTATATAGAACGGAGTAAAGCCTGTTGAGGCATGAACAGCGTTATTCAATGCAAACTCAACAACAGGGAGCATTGAGCTCCAACGCCTAGGCGTATCAGCGCAAATACTGCGCAAAATGTCGTTGATGACGCGGTTTACACGCTCAGTTTGACCGTCGGTCTGCGGATGATCCGCTGTGGACATGTCCAATCGAGTGCCAAGCACCTTGAAGATAGACTTCCAAAACTTCCCAGTGAAGCGGGGGTCTCTATCAGAGATAATTGCCACAGGCAAGCCATGTTGGCGAAACACACGGTCGATAAACAGCTTTGCTGTACCTTCCGCATCGATGCTATCCGGCACAGCCGCTAAGTGAGCCATCTTGCTCAATCGGTCAACAAAGACCACAATACCAGTGTTGCCTTCCGAATCTTTCGGTAGGCCAAACACAAAATCCATGCTCATGGACTCCCAACAACCACTGGGTACTGGCAAACTAGCCAGCGGCGCCGCCGCATGTGCCGAGGGTTTTACCCGTTGACACGTTTCGCACGTACGCACATAGGTGCGCACCCACTTATAAAGTTTGGGCCACCAATAGCTTTGGCTCACCGAGCTATAAGTCTTCTCACGACCGAGATGACCACTTAAAGCAGTATCATGTGCCTCATAGAGGATCCGATACTTTAATTCCTCATTATGAGGTACTACGATACGAGGGTTGTCCTCAATATCCGTGCGATAGCACAATAGGCCATTATCGATGGAATATCGATGTAGCCTCGCACGTAAACGTGCCGACAATTCTATGTCCGAGTCTTTAAACTCATTGCTCCCAAGAGCACGTAGCAAAGCTACACACTGATCGTCCTTGGCATATGCCGCACGAATTAAGTCAGGGACTGACGACGACAGGGTCGTAACATGAGCAAGCTCATAGTCAGGTCGACGCGATAGCGCATCAGCCAAAGCGTTTTGCTTACCTGGCTTGTACTTCACCTCGAAGTTATATTCGGCAAAGAAAGATAGCCAACGAGCCATTCTCTGTGAGAGATGAGGCGACTGTGTCGCAGTGCGCAATGACGCATGATCGGTATAGATCACAAATGGCTTCGAGCCAAGCAGATGGACTCTGAATTTGACAAGAGCGTACTTCATAGCAAGTAGCTCTTTGTCATGAACAGGATAGTTCTTTTCAGCAGCTTTCAGCTGTCGAGATTCAAATGCGATGACGCGTTCGCGTCCGTCGACATCTGTTTGTAACAGAGCACTGCCTATGGCAAAGTCAGATGCGTCACAGACGACACTGAAAGGCCGACCAGAATCGGGCAAAGCCAAAATTGGCGCATGGAGGAGACTCTCCTTAACTGCTTCAAAAGCATTATGTTCGGTGTTACCCCAACACCAACCCACATCCTTTTAAGGAGATTGGACAATGGCCGAGCCATATCTGCGTAATTTGCACTATACTTATGTAAGTAATTGGCAAGGCCAAGCCATTTACGCAAGTCCTTTTGGTTCTTGGGGACTGGCCAATCGACTATGGCTTTTACCTTAGCGGGATCCGCTCGAAGGCCTCGCTTCCCAATGAAGCACCCTAGAAAGGGAATTTCTTCTGCACCAAAGATGCACTTCGATGCGTTCGCATACAGCTTATTCGTTCGCATGCACTCGAGCACAGCTCGTAAATGATCAATGTGGTTATCCACATCTGATCGCCCATTCATTGCACGACTATGGACAAAAATGTCATCAAAGTACGTTTGTGCATAGCCTCGATGAGGTCTGAATAGTTGCGTTACCAACCGGTTAAACGTAGCCGGGGCGTTAGATAGCCCTTGCGGCATAACGAGCCACTCCCAAAGCATACCGCTCGGAGTACTCACCGCTGTTAGCGGAATATCGCTTGCTCGCATGAGCAGTTGGTAATAACCATCGACTAAGTCGAGTGCACTGTACAGTGTACATCCCGCCATATTGTTCTGAAGAACATCCTTTCGAGGAATAGGCGTCTGCGCCGGTATAGTAGCTGCATTAAGCTTATTGTAAGCATGCACAATACGCCACTTGCCATTTGGCTTTTTGACACAAATGTCGGTGTTGAGTGGGGAGACTTGCTCTCACGAACCATCCCAGCCGCGTGCTTAGCACGAAAGAAATCGTCAATGACGTCGCACTGTTCTTTAGGCAAAGGCCACTGCCGTGTTACACAGTATTTAGTTCCAGGAACCAAGTCAATCTCATGACGTACACCTCTATCGGGAGGTAAGGCAGAAGGTGGGTTGTGACACACCACATCTTGAAATTCCTTGACTAAAGGATAGAACGGATCCGACGGATCTTTAAGGATCGAAGATCCACTTCGTGCACTAAGTGCCGCCTTTGTATCCTCTAGGACAGACTCATCCATTAACGAGGAAGAGTTCAACTCAGTATCAGGTCTAATGACCGCTAACTCGGATAACTCTCCTGCCTTCAAGGCCTGGCTAAACTCGCCATCAGACATTTCGTCTAGCTCACAAAGAGCGTACACGGATGGAAGGGTTTCAAGGCAAACACTGCCATCAACCCGACCAGTCACTCCATTAACAAGTGTATACAGTGTATTGATAATCTCACTATGTGACTGTGAGGACGCCTGGCGCTTTACAGCTGCTACTCGGCGTCTCGATTGTCTCTTCGAGACCTTACTCCCCCTTAGGGGTCGGGACAATATTGTCCCCATGGTTACTACCAACCATAGTATGCTCTATACGAGAGCTTTTGTCTTGACCGACATTAGGTGTGGTGCCCTCACGGCCGCCCACACCATATGGCGAATCGCCAACAACGCCATTACCGGCGTTAAGCGTGGTGCCCTCACGGCCGTCCACACTATACGGCGTATCGCCAACAATGTCATTACTGTCATTAGATGTGGTGCCCTCACGGCCGCCCACACTATACGGCGTATCGCCAACAATGTCATTACTGACATTAGGTGTGGTGCCCTCACGGCCGCCCACACTATACGGCGTATCGCCAACAATGTCATTACCGACATTCAGTGCGGTGCTCTCACGGCCGACCGCACTCGGTGTAGTTTCACGTGCCACCATACACACATCAAAGGAATCACGTCCTTGATCACTCGGCCCTAGGCCAACCATGCTTTCAGCATGCAGTGACTCGTTATCACAACGAGTACCACTCAACGGAGTACGTGCCGTTTCACTAGTTTTAGACGAGCTAGGCTCGAAACTTATGTTTGTAACATGGGAGTTAGATAACTCGGACATTCCAATATCCAGCACATTGACATCTTCTGTCAAAGGCTCGCGCCAATAGCGCTTTTGCTGCCTAGCAAAGGTGGGTTCATGACTCTCCAAAGCTTCGCTAGGAACATTGCGCGTAGCGCCTAAGGTCTTAGACCTCCAATCAATCCATGGCTCATGGCGCTCAAGCCAAGCCATACCTAGGATGAGATCATATCTCGAGTCCAAATCTAGGACAAGACAGCGCTCAATACTGTCAAAGTCTAAAAACGTTATACCTAAGTTCAATGGAACTTTAGGCACCGTTACGCGACTTCCAGTCGCTAAACGAACCGTGATAGAATCACCCTCATGCGCTGTAAGCGCCTCAACATAACGCTGACTTCCCTCAAGGGAACGGCGTCGAGCATAATTGCAAGACGCTCCAGAATCGATCAATATCGACCAAGGCTTCTCGAAGCCCTTAATTTTCGCCTCGGCGACCAACAAGCCAGACTTGTATCCACGCACCATACCCGTAGGTATGGTACTCTTTGGGGCTAAGCCCTGCATTCCTTTACCTCCTAAAGGTGTAACAGAACATAGTTCTTCCCCATTAGGGCGCCCCGCGCCTACTGGGTGTCGGCATTTCCCCGTGCCATGCCAGACTTCTGACTCGGGGTCGAGTGTTGGCTCGTAGTCTGGCGTTGCTTACGCAAAGGGCAACCAGGCCGCAAGTGTTTAGTGCTTCCGCACATAAAGCATCGTCTTACAACGTGTTGCTGCTCAGCAGCTCGAAGCTCAGCTTCACCTCCATCTTCAGCATAGCTGAGATCCATCGGTTCCGGCCTATTATAGGCAGTGGTACCCGAATAGTTTGCTCTCACAGAGCGAGGATTGTATCCATTCCAACCAAGTCTGGCCGACTTGAAATTATGCTCAGCATTAAGAGCAATTCTCACAGCCTCTTCAAACGTAGAGGGGTGAACCCGAAAAACCTCGGTTCTGGCAATGCCAGTACGTAGACCTTCCATGAAGATAGTCACATGGACTGCTTCAGGCAGAGGGTCAGACTGCATTGCAGCCATGAGCGTTCGCAGCTCTTGGACATAGTCCGATAATTCATTCTTACCCTGGCGGGTAGAAAGAAAGCGTGAGCGCACGCGGTAAGCCTGGTTAGGTGGAGAAAACACCTGTACCAATTGTGATTTGAGCGACTCCCATGTGGGAAACGCTATGTCCACCGACGTGCTACACGTCAAGGCCCATTCTCTAGCTCTACCATCGAGCTTCGAGATAGCCAGCGAGACCTGTTGATGGTCAAGCGTGATCAGGCCTGATCTCATGGCCATCTCGATCTCACGGATCCAGAGGATGAGATTCTCACCCTCCTTGCCGGAGTAGTTTTTTACGTCCACTTTAAGTGGACGAGGCTTAGCCTCTTCGTCTGGTACAGACACGAAGCGTGTAGGCATAGCCGACGCTATTTGGTCTTGGACCTGCCCTAAAAGGGTCGCTTCATACTGCATGAAGCCGTCAACACGTGCATTAAGCACTTCAGGACCTTGTGAAACAAGAAACTCCACGTACTCTGGACCCAAAGATGCGGTCAGCTTGTCAAGCGCGACCTTTTGGGCCTCAGATAGGGGAGTGATGCTTTCCATCCTCACAGAGGATCAGTCTTAAAGACTCAGGCGTAGATTGACTACAAGTGCTACCAAGTGTAGCGGAGCTACACAGCTCCTTAAGTCAGAGGAAGACTTAACGCTCTACGAGCAACTTAGTTCCAAAGAACTAACGACTTTACGAGTCAGCAAGCTTTACAGCTTCAGATCCCTGTTCCAGGGGACCTGACGATTCAGTGAATCGACAGCACTTAGTGCTCAAGAGTAGCTACCTCAAGGAGGTGTTGCTAACTCTTAGTGATCAGAGATCAACGATCAAGACGGCTCGCAAGCCACGCGTCTTTCAGATCAAAATGGGAACTGATTTTATTTAATGTTAAAGCCTATAGAATATCTTAATCCTACTCAAAGATCTTTCGTATCTAATGGCTGACACTTGTCAGCCCCTACAAACCGATAAGATATTCTATATCACCTTCACAGAAGCGAACCCTCAGGTGTGTAACACCTCTGGTACAAAGTACCATGATTTCGTGCAACCCCGTTACAAGCAGCTAGCATGCGATGCAAGGCTTAAAGAAGAAGCCAGAAGGATCAACTTAGACCGAGCAAACGCGGGTCGCACGTAGTAGCATGCGCAGCACAATGTGGCAGACGTCGAGCATCGCGTGCGTAAAGCGGAAGAGCAAGGATACATAATCGCGACACGCGAAGCAGCGGCTCGCGAAGAAATTTCACGCAATGCGACAAATTGCGCAGACTCTCTGTAAGGCAGCACGACCGCAAGCGGAACGATTTCGTCATTCACGCGCTCGAGATCACGCCGTCAGCGCAATCATACAAGGATAGCGAGAAACGGGCGCTTCGTTCATCAAGAGCCGCCGTAACTGCAGCGGCCGCCACGACGCCACACTTGGACATCAGAACGTGCAACATGTACAACAATGTCGGCCACATCGCGCACGTGTGTCTTAGTAAAGCGAAGAACGTCCGCCACAAAGAGACGCCTCGATGGGCGCTCGCTGGACTCATTGCAGTTTGTCTGACGGAGGAGGACTAAATTGACCACTCCGGTGCCAGCCCCCACCTTGTCAAGCACAGCAGCTTGCTGTGTAACTGAGAGGAGTACGACGACCCAAACGGGTAACGCTTCCTTACAAAAGCACACTGTGAGTGACGCGACGCAGAAAAGCGCGGTTGCAAGTGACGGTGGGAGACGAGACGTACCGGATCGATCTTTGAAACTTCATCTACGTGCTAGGGATGGCCACCAGTCTCATCGCACTCGGCAAGCCCATGCTACAATGCTGCCGTCTCGCCGAAAAGAACAACAGACACGCAGTGATAATCAACAACGACGTTGTGATGTACGTCCAGATCAAGCAGAACGCTCTTGTCGTTGACCGTGGGGTCGCGAAGCAACGATCAAGAGGATTGAAGGACGTGATCATGTGCGCGATCGGTGAGTCGCAGTCACCAGAGACAACCGTGCAAAAAGGGAGCCACATGAGCTTTCACCGGCGCTTCAGGCAACTGAACTACAACGACGTGAAGCGACTTACCGCGAACCCGGTAAATCGACTCCAACTCACTGACAAAGTCCGGTAGTACTGCCTGACGTGGGCAGAGGGCAAGCATTCCAAGTCAGCACAGCCTAAGAAGGACATTGGCCTCAACACGCCGATCGACGTTGTCGGGGGATCATTTGCAGCGACCTCAAAGACCCCATTACGCCCATTAACAAACAATTTTTTTTTCTAATTTCTTCCACCGTATATTTAACTACGTGTGTGCATTCGTGGCCGAAGTTTATGGAAGAAGCCGCAAAGGAGTTCCAGCATTTCACAGCCTTTTTCAAGACAGTTCAACGTACGGGTCCAGGTGTTGCGGAGAGACGGAATAGGCGAGTACCGCAACCTCGACCTCTCCTGTCAGCAGGCGGGCGTCGGCAGGCAAATCACTGAGCGCAACACGTCAGCCTTAAACGGAAAGGCTGAGAGAATGCACCGGACTATCATGAATATGGAAATACGCAGCTCTTCGGTTGTGGCCTGCCTCTCGGCTACTGGGGATGCTCCGCGAAATACGCGGCTTACGTGTTGAACCGGATGCCGATTCACGCCAACACAAGCCGCAACATACCCTTGGAAATTATCACGAAGAAACCAATGAGGGTCGTGGACGTGGTGTAATTCGATTCTCCTCGAAAGGTGTAACAGAGCCCGACACATGCCTCGCTGAGCAAATGTGGAGCGCCGGGTATCATTATCGGCAATAACGAAGAAACCAAGGGGTACAAGGTGCGAATTCATGGTAAGCAGGTCGTAATGACTACACGCTAAGTAAATCAAATCATAACGCTAACTGATAAAGCTAACAAGCAGCTGAGACAAGCGCTCGAGTCAGAAGCTGACGACGCAATCGAGCAACTTGCAGATGGATGAGAAGTAAGTAGACGACGTGAGGATTCAAGCGGCGAGAGCTCAGCAGACCAAGCTGCCGCAAAGGCCACGTCGATACCAATGGCGCCGACCCAAGCGCAGAAAAAATAACGGGCGTAAGGTGGAACGAATTTGAAGTCCGAATCAAAGGCAAAATGCGAAGGGAAGGCTTCGCCAGACACGGACGAAGAGGAATGAGTATTAGACGAAGATGAAGAATGCCGCCCCGCGAATGTCGGGGTGAGCGAGAACGGAATCGGCCATGCACAAAGCAGATGATGCGTCAAGATACAGTACGACCTGAACTGAGGGAGCCTGTGGTCGCGGCAGCGCTGTATTGGTCAGTGCTGATGTCCGCCTTGGGGGCGGAGAAAAAGCAGTGCACAAACTTTCCCGACCAGAAGACGTACAAGGCGACGCGCTTACAACCAGACGCGCACCTCTGGGTTCATGCGATGGATGAAGAGATCGCCTTGCTAAAGTTATAAAATACGTGAGAACTAGTCAAGCGTGAGAAGCACATGCTTGTGCTTCGCAACAAGTGGGCCCTAAAAAGTAGATGAACGGCATTGATTTAAATGAACGATAAAAGGCGAGGCTTGCAGCGGGGGGGGGGCGACGATAAAGTGCTTAAAGGGACTGCAATCAGACGTTTTCAGCTGTCCTGAACGTGAACAGCGGCTTGATTATTCTTGCAGCCACCCGGCTTTGAAAAGTACGAGCGTCAAATTTTACTACTCAAGGGCCTACCTAAATGTGTTGTAGAAAGGGGGAGATCAAGATCTACATGCGCGTTCCCATAGGCATGACGATCTTTAACGACCAGATGCGTATACCCAACGCGGCTGACTCTGGGGGGACCTGCCTACGACTGATCAAAAGTCAATTCGGTCTCCAATAGTTAGGGCGCCTGTGAAACCAACTACTCGATTAAACTCTGGGAGGCGCAGGATTCAAACTGTCTGCCACAGACGCATGAGTCTACGTGAAGACCACCAGCGAAGGCAAGATAGTTGTGGGGTGTGTGTTAATGACCTACTCGCCACTACTACAAGTGACACGCTACTCGACACTTTCGGCGCAGCAATGCAGAGTCTGTGGCTGAAGTTTCTCGGTAGCGTCTAGAACTTCCTAGGCATGCGCGTTGTAGTTTCTGTGCCTGAAGTTTCTCGGTAGCGTCAAGAATTTCCTAGGCATGCGCGTTGGGTGAATTGACTCGCACAGATACATTATAAACAAGCGCAATTGATCACGGATGTTCTGCACAAAAACCGGCTTGAGGAGGAGAACGCAGTGTGGTCCCCAGTCGTCGAAGTAGCTTCGATCAAGTCAAAAACTACCTGCGCGCTGGCGCATCCAATTCGCGGTGCAGGTACTGCAGAGCGACTGAAGATAAGAGCTTTCAGAGCCTTTTTGTAAGCCTCCTGTGGACTGCAAGTTGCAGCCGACCCAACTTCGCGTATGCGGTAAACGCGCGACGCTCCGCAGCCACGCACCAAGCAACTACGACGTGAAGCTCTTGCGACGAGAGCTGAGATACATCGCTGACACGGCTGCGCTGAATCTGTGTATGGGCAGAGCATCGAGCGGCAACGAAGTGCAGCTCATCTGCTACACCGAAGCGGATTAAGCGGCCGACAAGGCCACGCGAAAGTTGATCAGTGGTGCGGTGCTGCACGTCAGCGGGATGCATGTCAAAGGGCTGGTCGAGCAACAGTCAGCAGTCGCACTCTCCACTGCGAAGGCCAATTTCGTCGCAGCGGCTGTGAGCGCGAATTAGCTTCTGTATGTTAAAAACCTACCGCAAGAGATCAATATGAGAGTGAAGCTGCCGATGCAAACGATGAAGGACAGCTAAGCGGTGATAAAGCAGATCGACAACGAAGCCACGTCGAGCGTACTGAAGCATGTTGACGTAAAGATAAAGTTTGTAGATGACACGACCTCTAAGGGCATCGTGAAGCCCGAGATCACCGCGGCCGACGCGATGATCTGAGATCTACCAACGAAGAGTGTCCCGGCGCCGATATTCGCTGAGATACGCGAATTAAGGTAAGTGAAGTGCCACGAGAAAAGTGTTAGAGGTAAAGACACGGCCCTGATGAGAAAGATAAAAAATTGTACGGAGAGAGACAGCGGAGACAGGCGTGCAGTCTAGAAAGCTCTTTAGATAGTAAAGAGTGACCGTAAGCCGCGTATAGTAAATTTTTAAGAGTATATCGGTGAGGATTGCAACTACACAATACAGCTGTCTATAAAACCACATCGTCCACACACTCGATCACCTATTGCACGAGAATTCAAGGCCATCAGTAGCGTCAGGATCAGACTTAAATTAGTGCTTAAGGAAATTAAGCTAAATTATCGTACGTGAAGACCTGCTGATATCATTTGCAAGCTATGCGCACAAAATTTGTAAAGCATTTGATCATGACAAAGTACAGTCTACTTGTGTACTCTTCCACATGAGCATACTTCAAAAATCCAGTCCTAATGAACGTTCTTCATGTGTTTACAATGTTTCTTTCCAAAATTCTGACTACCTAATGGTGCCGTCCTGCCTTGTGTTCTATGAGCACAATGCATTTTATAGCACACTGCAGCACTGTTGCCTCAAATAAGTCATTGACCGGCTTGAGAACACACACAATATTCTCATTGATGATGCGTGATACTGGGAATAATGTCACGGATTCCGGGTAGTGCTTCTTAGATTTTTCCATTCGCGCCCACTTGCCGATGTGCGCACTCGTAGTTGCACACATTGCAAGCGACCCAGGTCCCAGTCGCACGAACTCGACGAGTTCGTGATCGTCGGGACCCGCTGACACAATACCGTTCGCGAGCCACGGTAGCAGCAGGTAACCTCTTGCTGTTAGGGTAGACAGTGCTGCGAAATGATTACATGTCTCACGTAATGGAGTGGGCCTGTTGCATGTAATTAACCCTTGATGCTTGCGAGTTAGAATATTATCACAAAATTTGATAATGTTCGTGGAGATTACCACAAGGGGTAATATTCAGACACACTCACCGATTGATTCGTATGGGTAATCACATCATCCAGCTCTAGCGGTCCAATCAACGATTTATTGCTCACCACTCAGTACGCGCGTACTGAGTGGCGAGCAATACTTTAGCATACTTTTTTGTAGCTAAATATAATTAAGTTAGGAATAAAGCATAGAGCAATGATTAGGACCTGATTGCATTTAAACATTTTTACTTTTACCAGCAACTAGTCAATTCCTATTTGCATTCCCTTCCTCTGCCAAGTTACAGAGGGAGCTAACACCGCTCACGATGCTGTTGGTGATAATAGCTCTACACTGGCTGTCCAGTGTGTTGCTCTGGTGCCTTGTTACATCTGGTAGCCCTTTTTAGTCCGTCCAAAGGCCACAAAACCCGTTCAACACGAACGTGTTGGACGATGAAAGCGACGACACCTTTCATGGTACCCGTGGAAGTCACTTCTATTTGAGTGATGTCGAACGGAGTGAGGTCGAATGAATGAGTTAGCCCGTTGAAGAATAAGCTGTCTGGTCTCTGCTGCCAACAAGGGATAGGGACCAGTAGCATTTCGTAATCGACAAGTTCTTGCAACGGGAACTTGATGCGT